ACACATAAATAGGATCTGAAATAGAATAATTTTGTTGATTGTGTATCCTTTTGCTTTATGCTCTTATCCGAGTTAATTCTTTTTTTGATGGTTAATGTTATCATTCGCTTAACTAGTAGTCCAGTTTTCATGTGAAGGGTTTTTATCGCTTAGTTGGTTCAGCAATCCATATTCAATACCATGATGAGAAGTATCCTGATAATTAGTAATTTAAAATTATAAGCTGCCGTCTCGATCTGATGAAGGCATTATCAAACGCAAAATTTGATCCGGTACGGCTGCCCATTTTTTTAATTATTCGAAAATTTGATACCTTTCCGGTACCTTGAGGACAGGTAAACCGTTCTGTCCTCCAAATAACTGGAGTTGAGTGCACTGCCGTTGCAAATGGACAAAATAATTCGGATGGTCGTTTGCCTCCCAATAATATCCTTATATTGATTAAGGTTTCTGAAAAGAATTGATTTCAAGTTTGGATTCCAGAAGCACGACATTCTGTTCACTCAAGATTCCTGTTTAAACTTTAGTTTTTAAGGGATGATGATGCGTTTCCACGCTTCAGCTACCGGGATACGTTCGCTTACTTCGAAACCATCTAATGGTTGCTATCTTCACAGCGTGATATGCAATTGACTGGATGAAATTGATATTCAATGGAATTAAATGCAGTAAATGAACCGTCTGCATCCAGTTTTGTATTATAGCAGCATCCATACAGTCGCTGTCCTTCTGTGAATTCCAATACATCAAATACAATTTTATGATCTTCTGTGAATGATGTATCTGTTTCTAATACTGCTACTGTATTCGGTCTCGTAAGCGCTTGCATAAAATTCTGATCATAAACTGAAATGTTAGGAGTTTGGAGTTTCAGAGTATTGCAAGTGAAAAGAAAAGAAATGACAAATGTGCTGCCGTGTTTGAAAATAGAAACTACGAATTTTATAATCGCAAAAAGGACCAACTTTTGGATCCCCAAAACCAAAGGGTTCGGGAACGAAGTCGGCGGGAAACTTTGTAACGAAAATGGGGTTTGTCCGCATTTGCGGCTTTCCGAATTGCTAATTTAAGATACTTACGCCTAACTCGTTCAAATGTTGAACCGCGAGACATTGCTGAATTTTGATAAGAGCACATCGATTGATCGAATAAGCAACCGCCGATAGTGTTGCATTCCAAAAGGTTGAAAGTGAAAGGTAATTTTGGAGTAAGCGTTGTTGATACAAAGACTTCATTATCCTGTTTTGGATTGTTTCGTTTCAACCACCTAAATTTCTAAACATTTAATAAGAATTTTACATACATCTATTTAACTCACATTGTGCGAGAGGCCTACCACAGTTATAAGTTTTATAGTTTAGTGAAATTTCCGAGGTTAACTTCTCAAATAATACACCAAGTTTTTGAAAAATCTCAATAACGAAAATTTCGTTTCAAATATTCCATTACAGTATCTTTTTTTTTGTCTCACCTCTCTTCTTAGTTTTATTCTGATTTCGTACAAATACGGAAAACTTACTCATTGCTATTTACACCATCTTTTCCAATCTTCTGCTCTTCAACGATTAAACCGTCCGAATCATCCACCAAAAACTGTGCAAAAGCATCTCCAAAAATATCACTGAGTACTGAAAATTTAATCTGTCTAGGAATCTTTTTTAATCTTGTAAATATTTCAGACTTTGCAAACTTTTAGGAAGTTGAGAAGAGCCAGAAAGAATGAACTAACCAAATGAAGAGTTTAAATTGGATGAAGTTATGGGATTTGTGGTAGCTGATAATTTGCTGGTTATATCTCGAGAAGTTATGACTTGTGTTGTAAGTTCTCTCTCTTCAGCTCGTTGTATTGAATATAGTTTCACTTGTCGATGTTTCGGTCGTATTGAAGGTAAATGACATTCTTCAGTGACAACTTTTATGTTGTTAATGACTGCTGTTGCTATAGATTGTCCATGATTTTGTAGTTTGATATAAAACTAGGAAGAAATATTTCCTTCAAATTGACAGTGTTTGTCACTATCTCAAACAGATACCAACCTTGGTTGTATAAATATGTGAAATACTTAAATGAAATTTATAATGAGAGACATATTTATCTTAAGCTTTCCCTCTCCATTGAATCTCATCTTATTCTTTCTCAAGAAGAAAAAAAAAGAGAATAACGATGATACGATACTTGAACTGGTTGCTTGGGAGTGACACTGAAATGCTTGCTGGCGTAATCAGTAGATCTCCAGTTTCGTAGAAATGTGCAGTATCGATAAATGCTATTCTCACTGTTGGCAAATTTCCAGCACAATTTGATTCTTGTTCTGGGTGTCTGATAAGCTCTAGAAGCTTATATTTTCAAAGTTTTTATTTTTATCGATGAAAATTTTTCATTGATAATTTTAGAACTTAAATTATAATTAATTCCAAAAAGCTCTATTGCTGACAAAGTGCTACAGTTCTTGCAAATATTTTAAATGATTCATGATAAAGTTCGAATTTCAAGACAAATGGAAAATTTTAGACGTGGTACATATTCACATCGTAACTGGAGTGAGTCATGTGAGCAATTAAGATCAATATTTTGACAAAACAAACCTTACGAGAACTGTAAAAAAACCCGTTTTGGAACATATTGCACATGAAGTCCAGTCACTAGAAAAACTCTGTTTCGGTGTCACGGATGTCGCCAGAAAAAAATGATCTGAAATGTATTTTACATAAGACTGCAGCTGAACATGTTGTATGCGGAAACGTCTAACTATGAATTTGTTAATGATTTGTAAGCTACCTCTTCTTATCCATAGTGTGCTGAAATGGACAGTGAAGTAATTTTTAATTTTAAATTAAACAGAAAAATGATAGTATCTGATATAGTTTTATACCATTTTGAAGCACAATAAGTAGACATATGATAAAATCAAAGCCAGATAGTGTTGAAATATAAAATTAAGAATTTGACAGTGTGAAAAATTCAACTACGAAGAAAAAAGTTCGTGATTTTTTTTAAAGTAATTTTATTTTATCGACAGAATTTATCATCAAAATATTGCAATTTATGAAATATGAGTTGATCAGCTCTAAAGATTGATTCGGGCTTTCTGCATCCTCAATTTAGAGAGTAAAAAATATTCGAAATAAGCCAAATATTTCCAAATACTATAATTTAATCAACGAGAGCTCTAATGCCTTTCGCACTATGCATTTGGTACTGGTGAAATGCAATCAGTATGTTTTGAAATATTTGTTGAGATTTTAAACCTTTATGCAAGTACGCAATGTTTTCGAGGCAAGCTCAGTGATCAGATTATTTCTGTTGGATCAAAATTCATCAACAACTGATTTTTTTCCTCAACTCTTCAAATTGTAGGTTTGGTTTTTAAATTGTATTTGAAATTGGCGAAATTGGAGGAAAAAAAAATGAAAGCAAATACAATGATGAAGTGGAACATGGCATCAAGCATGGGAATTTCCAGTTTTTCAAAAGAAACTATTAAACTTTTACTTTCTTGATATTAATAATTATAAGAGTTTATACTGAAAATTTTTATGATTTTTTAGCGGCATAATTGCATTTTGTATAGTACTAACTCTAGTGTTATCACGTAGTTTTGTCTATGTTTACCTAATTTCAAGCATTTTTTAAAAATATAGTCTGAAAGTAAGCTTTTTGAAGTCATATAGATCGTTTTTTCCTCGATAGCAATATGATAACGTAAAATGACCCAAAAAGAGTTGTGTTTTTACAAATGGATTAAAAATTCAGCCACTACTGATTCGTAGCCTTTTACGAAAGTCTAAGTTTGCACCAATTCAAAATGAAATGGAAGAGGATAAAAGAAGTAAACATCTTCCATGTGTTGAAGTTGATACCTTTAAAAAGATTATTAGTTTATAGTTTCTTTACTCTTGAAATTAGATAAGCATTGGTAAAGAAAACGCTAAAGAACACAAGAAATGTTTGTTCTTTTTTTTTTTTGATAAGAAGGGCTAATTTGTGAGTTGCATAAATTAAAGAGTTCATTCCTCTAAACTCAAACTTTGTCACTGTGAATTAGCGCGACAATAAGTGAAACAACGACCAACAAAATAATTTCTTTCACTCAAGCTTTACAACATTCTATTTGTAAATATTTATACATTTTATGTGATATATATCTTGGAAAGGAATTTTAAAAAAATTTACAAAGAAAAGGAAAAATTACTTGACTTGTCGTCATGAAGTCGTGAATATAAAATGGTTCCATTTCCATTATCGTGACTTTTACTGTGGTATATTTGCCATTGTGCACCGTCACCTTTATTCTTCCAGCAGCAAAATGTCCAGTTAAAATTGCAGTCAAGCGAACTACCATGAACTACAAATGAAAAAAGCTGTTGAGATGAAGTTAGTTAATTTTAGCACTTGTAAGTGTCACAGGACAGCAAATGTTTGAAATTAAAAAGATTTCAAAGTGAGTTGTTGAGATGATAATTTTTTTGTAAGAGAAATGGGATAATATTTTTTTTTTGAAGGAATTTATCCAAGGAACTGATTTTAGGAATCTTTGTAAAATTTACAAGAGTTGAAATTAAACTGCCTCGAAATTCTTTGCGTAGTTCAAGAAGACTAGGAGTGAAGTAGAGCTAAAGTTTGCTCGTCACTTCTAAGAGATTTCATCTTATTTAAGATAAAAATGAAAGAAGGACCTAAAATCGAAAAGTTGATGACGAGAAAGTTCCTTTAAACTTGACTGGTAATGCTTACCTCGGAACGTTAAAAAGATGAACAGTAAGAGAAGAAGCAGAAAATGCGATTGAAGTGAGAGCATGAAGAAGGAAGGAATCACCTCGTATCACCCCGCACTACTGACAATAATTCTGAGAGTGAATGAAGAGATCTGCGTGTCGTCAGCATTTCACCAGCACTTCATCCATCGTCTCGTCATTATGTCGATGCATCCATGAATATCTTTAATAGCTGATGTAACAATCAGTGTAAGTTCTTCATTGAACTAGTTCTTGCTATCCCATATCCAACAACATCATTTATCACAATGAAGACACTTTCAAGGCGAAACGGACATGTCAAAGAGAAAGTATCATTCATTATCATGACGTCATCTTTATCATTATCATTGATAAAAGGTCGAAGAAATTTACAGCTTCCACCAAAAAGGTTACGAGCATAAAATTTTGTTGTTTTAAATGAGTTTCAGTTCATAAAATTATTGGTTCTTACTTCATATCACATGAAATGATAGATGAACATATAGCTATTCTTTTTCAGATGTTATCATAAAATATATTTTATCATCACTCACATAGCATTACAGTTTGTAGGAGACAAATACGGTTAATACTCTGGTGATGAATGTGATAATTCGTGTGACAGTTGATAATAATGCGATCGTTTGACAGTTTGTTCTTCTGTCCTAGATTTCATTCTAGATATAAAGAATATCTGGTAGCACAATTTACCGCATCAGAGGTTTTTAATTTCCAGTTTTTGCAAAATGCCATTCTTTTCTGAAGTTTCTAAAATGTTTCAAATTTCAAATATTTTATTCATGACTAACTGAACAAGTTCTTCCCTGTTGGGTATGCCAATTTTTTTTATAGAATTAACAGAAAATCTTAATTTTATAAAAGTACTTCGTATTGGACGGTTTATTTCAGTTTCACTCCATTAAAATGTCATTTTACCATTTGAGTAGTTATTACTTCAAAAATGTTGAGGTAACTTTCTCCATGTCAAAAAACTTCACATTAAAATTTTAAATCGACAGCTGCTAATTGTGCTTATTTTGCTTTCAGTAATATAGGTTTAAAAAGGTATCCCTGAAGTTAAATTGAAATAATATGTAGTCTCATCGAGTTGCAGGAACCTTCAAGCAGTGATAAATTTGTGTTCGACACAACAAAATCGTATCTTTTCAAAAGTTTTTTGATATCAAATCAAACCAAAGTTATTGAATTCTTTCAAATTCCTATTATTAATTTTCGGTTCCGTTTTGTTGGAATTACGGCATAGAATTGGGAAGAGGACAGGTGAAGGATTATGTAAGATCAAGGATTTTATTGACGAAAAAGTAATGAAATCTTAACAGAAATCGTCCAATCTTTAGCATACTGAAACTCACTTAGAGATAAATAAGAGGTCTGCTTGCTTGAAATGAGTGAAATGCTTGTGAAATCCTTTTCAGGAATCATCGGAATTCAAATATACCAGAAATAGGTTCAACAATATACAATACCATACCAACTGGGGGCGATACATTTGCTGACGAGTCATCTGGTAGTAAACAAAATGAGGCAGAAACACATCTCAAACGTAAAACAGGTTTAGAGAGAGGTCAATCAAAAACCTTCAAAGTGCCCGAGTACGTCTCTCAAACATTTAGCTGTGTTTTTCAACAAAATGGCATTTTGTTGATGCTACAAAAATGTTTGACCTCAACAAAGGGTCAAAAACCATTTAGTTTTTTTTGAAGAAATAATTGGAAAGCATTTCAAATTTGTATGGTGAAATTTCAGCTAAAATGCTTAATTCACCTAAAAATAATACTTGCAATTTAGAAAAATCAGAGGTGAAATTTGGTTTTAATAGATTGGAATTCATATGTTTTTGAATGAAATGATCAAAGTGACTCATTCCATTTTGTTTATTTAAATTGTTGTTGCAATATTACATAATGTAATTAAACAATAGAAAGTTTAGAAAATGATTTAGTATCAAATTTTTATTCTATCGAAATTCTTTTATTTGATAATGAAATATTAGGGAGTAATGCTATTGCAGATTACTTTGTGAAATTGTGAAATAGAGTTATAAGAGAAAAAAATAAATCTATGAAAAAATTGGGGAGTGGAACATAGAGGTTGTTTTTAAACATTTGAAACCAAAAAAGCGAAATACATTAACCTTAAATGACTAATAAGAAAGAGAAAGAAGATAACCAGAGATAAAAAATAGTAGCAAAAAAGCACAAGGAATGAAACGAAAGTTCGTGAAGGAATTCACATTTAGTTGGTTCAACTTTTGGTTGCTTATATTCAGAAAAAAATTTGTATATTTCATATAGAATGCACTTAATGCAGTAAGAATAAGACATTATCTGGTTAATTATATTCTTTTCTGGCAAAATTATTAACTGATTAAAAAGAAAGAAAGTGCCAAGTCGAGGTCTATAAAGTACTAAATCGAGCTTCTAAACATCTTTAAGCTGTTTGATTCTACTATCATGGTATTGGTACTCTGAGATCAGGATAATTAATTGCTATCATTTCACTCTTCCTACTGTTTCTTTTCAAGTTAGAAAATGAAAGATTGCTGCAACCATTTTTTGGTTTATCATAAATATTTGATTGGCCATATTTTTTCTAATCACTGCTACACTGTAGTAGCAGATATTTTGCAAGGGACGGAAATGGGACTAGCAGAAAAAACTAACTGTAAAAACTATTTTGCTGTCTTTCTCTTGTTATTAATAGGACATTGTTGGAGAGCAACAGAAAAGAATGGAACTGATCAAGTTTAAAGAACAAGTTAAAGATTTATTAAATAGTAATTTTGTACAGGTCAACAAACCGTACTCAATTATCAGAGAATGAGATTCGTTCGGGTTCGATCTCGGGGAACAAAGTAAAACAAAGAGTGAAAAGAAAAAACAAGGAAGCTACCGTACGCGAATACGAAAATGATGTAAGTGAAATTAAAAATGAACATTTATTCCAAAATAATTAATTTAGGAGTATTTTCGTATGTGCTATTTGAAATTCAACTAATCGTTGGTAAAATTATAGGTTGAGGATAGAAATTCTTCGTATCATGACTTCATAGCAAGGAATCCTTGTAATTATGAATCTGAAGGTTATTGTGATGATGCATTTCGAAATGCGAGAAATTATCAAAGTAAGCATTTCAATTACAAAGGTTTTCATGCAATATTAGTCTTTTAGTAAATTAGAAATAAACAAACTGCGAAAAAAAACATTTAAAAATGAGCAAAGTATTGAATAGTGGAAATGGCTTATTAGTAAGACACCGAAATAGTTTTGAAAAAAAAGAAAAATATCAACGCAGTTCTTCCTTATCATATTGTAAATTAGCTGGACTTAATCTTAATCAGAATGATGAATTAGTTAATGTATTGGGCCCAGTGTAGAGTAATTTTGTTAGGGAACTAGTTTTTGAAAAATTCAAGCCAATTTTTACGTAACTTCCGGGCAGTTTTTAGTTAGAAAAAACAAATCACGACTTCCGCTACTATCGAAAAAAAAGTTAGATGTGCCTTTATATGACGGTACTGATTCTACACGGGACACTTCAAGGAACGTAAGTTCAAACTTGTTATTTGTGTGCAATTAATCTAAACTGTGGATCATCCTATCCATGATCTTTCAGGTTTGTAAATTCTGTAAATTGGTCTATGATACATATCGTGTATTACAGCTAATATATTTGTAAATTTATGTATAAAATTTGTAATATGTAGACAAAACTTTACCATATTCTATTTTGTTTGCATTATCCATAATTGGTGTTGTAGAAAGAAACAGCTGAGGAAACTGAAGCCAATTTTGAAATGGGGAATTTTTTGTTAGATATTTCGGACAGAAAAAAAACTGAAATGGAACAGAATGCCAGACTAACAACTGGTGTAGCAGGTTATTTCCACAATTTTCAACCAGAAAATGTAGTTGGAAGTATTTGAGTGAATAATGTGCAGTATGATACCTTATTTGCAAAAGCTATTCCGTTAGTTATCTTTTTTTTAAATAAGATGGGATGGTTAATGTAGGTAATGTATCTTTGCAGCTTTGGCAAATGATGAAATAACGCAATGTTTCTTACAACTTCCGATCTCGGTTTGTGCTTTATCGATTCTTATGATTCCATCATCAAATATGAAACATTATTTGATAGATTAACAGCAATGCAATTACGTTTATCTATTAAATACCTATTCCACTCTTGCCTTAAAGTAACACCCACGAAACCCTTTATTCGGAATCGGTTGACTATTTGTTTCATCCTTGTTTCCGTCATTTCAATCCATTTTGGCGGGAAGTAAAATCCATCGAACAGAAGTATTTCATAAATCTTCAAATAATGCAGGTGATCACAGAGCAGCGTATCCGTGTCACAACGTTAGTGCGTCAATCATGGTTCCATTCAACAATTTACATCTATTCTGCTAATGAGATGGGACATTGTAATATTGAAAAACTTGACGGAATGCTCATAGTTAGTGTTTAAATCTTGTTTATTGATGCGGAAGATATATTAAAACTGGAATAGAAATTGGCTACTGTTTTTTAATCTGTTACGAATTTTATCAACATTTCATGCTGAAGCATAGAATATCGATTTGCCGGTGGTACTGGGTGAACTTTTCTAGATATAGTTCTTCTGTGATATGTTTTAATCGTTGTTGTGGATATAAAAAATATTCGTGCTCGTTACAGTGTTATGAATTATGAAGTGACATTTAACACCTTAGACCATATTCCTCTTTCTTAAATATTTAATGACAGCAGAGAAGTAGATCGATGTATAGCGATAATGAAATTCGATCGATTTGCGTATAATGTTACAGTAATTGCCATATAATAAAATTGTTAATAAAGTTGTCGTATAATTCATGGGACAATAATTAAGTCATTGTTTATGTTACACTTACAAATTAAAATCTGGTATTCAATATCTAAATTTTAGGGTGCACCAATAATGAATCGTGAAACCAACGAGATAGAATGGGATAAAAGGCCACTAAATTTGAAAGAAGACATATTTGTCAAAAATAATATTATTAGAATAAGGCGATCAATATTATTTTGTGATTTGAAAGACGGAAAGCAAGTTACAAGGAGTGACCGTCGTACTTATAATAATTTATGTCCAGCAGAGGTCACCAATGCTGCGCAGCGCGAAGTTTACGGGTTAGCAAATCGATTTCAACAACTTTGGTATAGTGGTAATAATCCAATCCCTCTGTTCATTAATATTTTTAAAAATTTTGAAGTATCATTCAAAAAATTATGAAGATCTGTCTTCTGAGATTTATTACTTCTATATTTTTTCTTTTTCTTCAACAAATATATACATATAAATAACTGATTTCAATGAGGATGAATTAATTTTGTTCATCTTACAGTTTTGTTTTTCCTTTTTCAAGCATTCAGTGCTCTATGACAATGTACAGTCTTGATGAGAATACATAGAAATGTGATCGTGTTTTAGCAATGTGGCTTTGAGACCACAATCAATGTTAAATGTCACCTCGATCCTCGGTGAACAACGATCTATCAACGGCAATATTCGATTGATCGAAAAACTGATAATCACTTTGTCTAGTGGCAAGGAACCCCTAGCAATCCATCGCCTGCAAAATCAGGTTGAAGAGCGAATAATTAAACCAGAGAATTGTGATATACCAATGCAATACGTCGAGGACATACTGATTGGACAACGTCGCATTGATATCACCCGTGAAGCAGATATTAAACCTCCAAAAGGGTTAAGCGAGTTTATGACCGCTGGACAACCACAAGTATTTGAATTTGGAGAAAGACGAAGATATGGGAATTTCGTTGTGCTAAGTGAGTATTGCTAATTTAGAAAATTTTCAGATTACAAGTTACTTTTAAATGATTTGAATTAAACGCCCAGTTTAAAGAATATGTTTGATAAAAAATTCAGAGTCACCAGTAGCTTGTAAGCTTTCATAATTGCAGAATATTATGATTATCAAAACTGAAGCTTTTTAGAGTTCAAATTTATTCCTCTGTATTGTCCACTGGTAAACATTATAGTTTTTGAGAAAATTTTCTTATTGTCTTTTAAAATGAACCTTAGAATAAACCTTAGACTTCTGTTTATTAAGCACTAAATTGGTAATTAGATATTGAAATCTACGACGATTAAAAAATCTAAAGCTATGAAATACTATGAAATCTAAAACTTAAAGCGCATACTATCAAGCGCAATTCAGAAGACTATCAGTAAGTTGATTTGCCTATTTCTTGTGATCCATAAAGTGAATGCTGGAAGATGATGGTCAAATTAGTAATGATGAATTAATGAATTAATCAACTGAAACATAATATGTTAAAAATTGTGAATGAAATTGTGAGCTCCGCGCTAAAAAATTACTTTTTCATCCAACTTTACATGATAATAACAGGTTTTTTTGAGGACAATTAGCCGATTCGTTGTCACAGTTAAAAAGTATGTCAACTCACTACATTTCTCAGGACATTTCATAACATTCAGCCTTGTCCGCTTACTTATTTAAATTAGTATGCTATAGAATCGAAATATAATGAGACATTCCTCTGCTATTACTCATTTATGAACAGCAATAGAATTGTTGAAAAATAAACAGAAACTGATAACTGGAATATGATAATAAGGATTAAATATATGTTGCTAAGAACGTCTATCATTTAGAATCGAAAATTCGTTGAATTAGTAGTTGGCAGAATTATAGCGAAATTTTTCTGAGACCAATCGACATTTGCTACTACTGCGTAACTTATGCAATCCTACTCATTCCTTGTTTTTGTCACAAAGATCTCCTGCTAAAACTTTGGTCGAGAATTACGTGAACCGTCATTGTCAGTTTGATCATCATCTAGTTTATCCATCGGATCTGTAGGTTTGTCCTCAAGGATTTCACTGTTCCATTATCCTTCGTTTCATTTCCTTTATCTTCAGCATCTCAATCGCTTGGCCACACTCAGCCTAGTTATACTATCCGGCGATCTCCGCCACGACTTTCAACAGATGGACAGATTGGTCAGGTTAAGGATACAATGAGTCAATTTCCATATAGGTACGGTTACAGGTCATTTTATCTGATTTTTTACTGATAACATTGTTCATATTAAGTAATAAGCATTTAAGTTTGATAAGAAGAAAGGTCCGATCGGCATTTGAGAAGACTTCCTGCAAAGAGTAAATTTAGATCACATCATTACCGTTTCTTTCATTCCATGAAAACTTAAGCAATTTCCAGGTATCAGTCGCAGTCATCAGAAGTGGGGAATGAACAACTGAAAGGTAATGTTGTTGACGATGCACGAATACCGCCTGGTATATCCTTCCAACGAATTAAATTTATTTATCTGTTAAACTGCCCCTAAATACAGATATGAACAAATATTTACCAAACTATTACGGACAATTTTTAAATAGTATAGTGTTCCTATCAATTCTTACACTTCTGATATCCAAATTATTCAGAACGAATACTGAAAAAGAAAATCCAGCCAGAAAACTGCACTGAAATGCGAGTTATACAGGTCAAAATTCGATTCTACAGAAATTAAAAATTTTGTAAAATATAAGAGTGGTATTAAGAACCGTATTATATTACCGTATTATATCACTCTTTCTAATAAATCCACAACTATTTTAGGGAGTAAACGCTACTGGAATACCAATCATAAATAGCAATGCTGAATCACTGGTAAGCATCATCATCTGTTATCATTGATAAGCTTGGAATTTTAATAAACAGCGGTAAGCTTAATAGGGTTTTCCTATTATTCGTTTTGAAAGTGATTTTCCTTTTAAGTTTCGAAATCAAACATGCAATAATGTCCCATTTACTTTTCTTTTATTATCGTTTTATTATCTTCCATTACAGACAATGTCATATTTAAAATATATTCAAAATTGTTAAAATAATATAATGTGTGATGAACACACGGAAATTCCAAAAATTTAATTGCTGAAAGTTAAATAATGCGAGAATGATAAGCCATAATTGAGAACTTTTCAATATGTTACAGGCATCTATCAAGCAAAAACAATTTGGCGATAGTGCAAAGCGAGAAAAAACAGGCTAGAGACTGCTTGGTTTTTCTCTTTGGTTAACTTTTGAAATGCACGTCAATTTCGAAAGTTTCAAACATTCGAAAATTCATGCCAACTTTCATTAACATTTAAAATAAATTGAAAATTTCAGAGAGTTTGCTTTGTATGATCTAAGAAGTTACTACAATAATTACCTCAATCTGCAGATTTGCGATCCAAAAAGTCGAGCTTAATACGCCGTGGCCCACGACGTTCAAGTCGTTGGAGTAGGTTTGCACTTAGTAGGTCTCGGTCTCATGCAGATTCTACAGAATCTGTACGGACAGTACCTGCCACCTTCAGCCCGTTGGAAACGTCAACACCAGTTAAAAAGGTGATCGAACATTTTAATGCTCAGTGAAAGTGTTGATTGCCACATTCACTAAACGGACGAGAAGCTATGCTATAAGTGCAAAACTTCAGTGTCCCATAAAAGCAAAAGAACAGAGCGACCGAAATAGAGTTTTGATAGAGAAATACATGAGGACGTCAAGAAGTCAAAGTTCAGGCACTGGAACACACATACGCTCTACTCTCGATTGTGATATCACACGTGAACTTTATTTCAGTAGTAGCTCAGCTTAGTCACTAGAACAAAATCAATATCTATGTAATCGAGTAATTGTTAGCGTTAAAATGTTTGAATCAAATGAAAATATTTGCAAATATGATGAAACTAAGAGACTTCGCGAAATCTATGATATGTATAGAATATTTATTTTGTCAATTATAAGTCATTTAATTATAGTAATGTACTTTTAATGGAAAGCTTTGGTACAGATATTGCCGAATTTTTCAGTAGGCACGACCAAAGAAGTGGACGTGACAGAAATTCCGATTGAAATTAAAGGAGAGTTAAATGGCTTTCCGTGGTGCACAACGATCCGATTACGAGTCAAGCATGATGCTAATGAAAAGCCAACTTTTATTCCAAATCAATGTAAAGTGTTCTAAACTTTACAATAACGAAGTTCATTCTTTCTTATTCCTTTCCTGTTCTTTTTTCTTTCTTGTTTTTTTCCAAATCTATTTTTTTAAATTCAAGCCCTCATTTATTTTTGTAAATTCAGTTGAATGTCAAGGTAAGGTAATCAAAATGTGCAAAATGTTTGATGTGACTATTATGACCAAAGTTACTGTCATCATCTACTTTACTGTTCAGAAAGCTAAGCTGTCTAGTTATCTTGGTAGAAGTTGAAATTACAAATTAAATTTTCAAGTTTTTTATTTTTTTGAAAACAGTCAGTCATTTTTTTGAAATCCAAACCTAAATCTCTTAAATCTCTATTTTATCACTGTAGATTTTCACCATATCAAGTACGATTTATAGCCTAAAAAAACATTTCCAGTATCACTCAATCACAACATATTATGGCAAAATGAACATTTACAAAGTAAGCAATCAAAAGATACAAGTACTGCTGTAAAGAAATGAATCTGATAAATGATCGGCGACTAACACTGTATTTTATGGCACCATTACTGGACTAGATTGAACTGATGTTTCACTAACAAAAATCATTACTCATTCATATGTTTGACAACGATAATATGTTACAGTAATCTTTCGAGAATTTTTACTGAAGTTCCACCCATCTCGATTCAATTTCGATTTCACTCCATTTCTCTTTCCATCTATTGCATATAACAAGCAACGAGAACAGATTAAGGATAATAACACCTTTCTAGTTGTAAGGAACGTTTAATTAATAATTTGAGAAATTCAAGAAAGAAAAGTAAAAAAATCAATAGTGGGACCTAAAATATTCATGAAATAAAAGAAAGTAAAGTGCTGTAATACATTGCAAAACATTCGATAAAAATAGTTTTCAAAAGGATTCTTTCGCCCTCTCAGACAAAATTCAATATAGCACTGTTGCTCGAAGAAACTTACAAATCTTATACATAATGTTCGAATCCTAGAAGAGGCGTGGAGGATACAGGCCTGTTTTCATTATTCGTTAAGCAGCTACTTTTTATAATGTAGTTTTGATTAGCGATATAATCCATGGAAGAATACGGTGTCTGGAAAATGTATCACTATTTCATTTAGAAAGAATTTGCAATTTCAAAATGGATGAAAATTTTATCCGTTATTCTTTTTTGAATCGTAAATGAACAACTTAAACGGAGATCCCTGTTTTTAAATCAAAGATATCGTTAATTTATAAATACCTGTATGAAGTGTTGTGGATTTTGCTGTAGAATTGTACTTGGTAAACTATGCATTTGGGCATTAGTTTCGCATAGGCCGTAGCATTCTTTAGAACGGTCAAAAAAACTGGATGAATTCGATGAATTTGAACTCTCGGGTGTTATCGTAGCTGCGTCAGAATTTAATACCATTTCCGATAAAGCAGGTGATATTGCGATGATTCGCGGCTTCTAAATATCTAATATAAAATGAAAAGTGCATTCTTTTAATTTGAAAATTGAATGCAAATAGAAATATCTCATAAGTAACCTTGAAAATCTTCAGGGAATTCAATAACCAAATTCAATAAAATTTTTGAGATCCATGCGATACTTGCAAGAACTACCTTCACATTTTTGCTTTTTGATCTGCCATTCCCATTTGTCACAGAGCCGTTTTGCATTCGGAGATTTATGAAGTACTGAACCACCTCCTGGTATTCCTTGTAATTAGCAATGTCTTCTGGTGTCAAATCCATGTTATCAGGAATGCATCGTCGAGCACCAGCGATCACTAGCATGTGAACCATCTCAACATGCCCTTGAGAAGCAGCCAAAAACAATGGTGTTTGTCCCTTTAAAAAAAAAAAAAAAAA